AAAAAAAATTCTTTTGGCAGAACTAATTGAAACTAATGCATTTGATATTTTCTCTACAATTTTGTACAGGTCATTGACAAATTGTTTGATGAGAAAATTTTGATTGGATCGGGGAGGGACAACTCATAATTTTTACGGTGAGTTTGGACTTTCATACTTGATATTTACTAGTATGTTTTTAGGCTTTTGAAGCTGCTTGTATAATTGCATACATGTAAATTATACATGTCATGAACTTATAAAACTTTCTGTTTATTTAGTAGGGAATCATAAACTTGTGCATCAATCATGTATTTTTTACAATATTGAGCCTTTTTTGTGTTTTTTCTTACGGAAATGTTATTGTGGAGTTTACATAAAATTTCATCCTCATCACTGAACATTAGAATCTGTATATATAATTCCCTGCCTCTTCCACTGACAGCCCCCTGGCCTACAGTACCCTGGCTGACCTGGTCCATCACGTGCGTCAGTCCCTGCCCCTGAAGGAGCTCTCGATGGCGGTCAACCTTTTCTCTAAGAACGTCCACGACGAGTCCCTCCCCAGCATATACAGACCATGTCCTGTAAACTCCTACTGAACCTGGTCGAGTGTATCAGGGCCAAGAGTGAGGCCGAAAATGGAAATGTGAGTCCATGGACTGATTTACAGATACAACATATTCATATAACATAAATTTATGTTATCAGAGCTAAGGGTAAAGACAGACAAGAAACTTTGTGATTATGTGACAGAGTTATCTGTCTGATTTTAGCTCTTCTGAGCCAAAGGCTCAAAGAGCTAATGCTATGGCCATTTGTGCGGTGTGCGGTGTGCGTTAACTTTTTAGAATATGGGCCATAACTCAAGAACCCCTTGGCCAATCAGTGTCAAATTTGTCACAGGGTATCCTTGGCCCAAGGGCTACCATTTATACTAAAATAAGGGTTGGGACCCTAAAACAAGGGGAGATAATCAGGAAAACAAAACCAAAAGTACTGGTTGCTAAAAAATCTTCTTCTCCAGAACCACCAGGCAGATTTTCACCAAACTTACACACAAGGATCAGAATATGTTGAAGATTAAAAATTGTTCGAGGCATGACCCTGGGGCAAAGGGCGTGATCTCAAGGTCACTTTAAAGTTTACCTAAATGTACCATTAATAAAAATGTTTATATTTTGCTTACTATAAGGACTATGATCATCAAATCTTGTAAGTTGATGCATCTTAGGACTTCACATCATCTTAACTCAAAAGTAGGTCACGCTGACCTACTTTTTTAATTTTGCGGGCATTTGTTTTCAAATTGATTTTAAGGCAAATTTTGGACACTTTTAGGCCTATGATCATCAAACTTAGTCAGTTGATGCATCTTGGGTCCTTGAACAACGTCAACTTAAAAGTAGGTCACCGTGACCTCTTTTGAACTTTATGACTTATCCTTTATAAAACATTTAATCCCATTATTTCAGGCACTGAAAGGGTTAGAATCATCAAATCTTGTAAGTTGCTGCATCTTGGGACCTTAAAACATATTTAAGAAAAAATAGGTCACTGTGACCTACTTTTTGAATTTGGCAGGCAATTGTTTTCAAATTGTTTAAAAGGCATATTTTGATTACCTTCAGACCTTATAATCATCAAACTTGGTCAGGAGATGCATCTTGGGACTCTGAAAAATGTCGACCAAAATGTAGGTCACGGTGACCTACTTTTGACATTTTATGGCTAGATTTAAGTATCTCTAGTACTTATTGGCTTAGAATCATCAAACTTTGTGAGTTTATGCATTTTGGGTTTTCGGAGAGTGACGACCAAAAATTAGGTCACAGTGACCTACTTTCGACATTTTTTGGCTATATTTCAGTAATTTTAGGTATTTATTGGCTTGGAATTATCAAACTTTGTGAGTTGATGCAACTTGGATTTTTGGATAAGTTAGACCAAAAAGTAGGTCACTGTGACCTACTTTTTACATTTTATGGCTATATTTAAGAATCTCGGTACCTATTGGTTTAGAATCATCATACTTTGTCAGTTGACTTGGGTTTTCCGAGAATGTCGACCAAAAAGTAGGTCATGGTTACCTACTTTTGAATATCTCAGGTATTTATTGGCATAGAATTATCAAACTTGGTCAGCAGATGCATCTTGGGACTCTAAAAAATGTCAACCAAAATGTAGGTCACGATGACCTACTTTCGACATTTCCTGGCTATATTTAAGTATCTCTAGTACTTATTGGCTTAGAATCATCAAACTTTGTCAGTTGATGCATCTTCGGTTTTCCAAGAATGTCGACCAAAAAGTAGGTCACAGTGACCTACTTTTGACATTTTATGGCTATATTAAATATCTCCGGTACTTATTGGTTTAGAATCATCATACTTTGACTGTTGATGCATCTTGCGTTTTCCGAGAATGTCGACCAAAAAGTAGGTCACACTGACCTACTTTTGAATATATCAGGTATTTATTTGCTTAGAATTTTCAAACTTAGTCAGCAGATGCATCTTGGGACTCTGAAAAATGTTGACTAAAATGTAGGTCATGATGACCTACTTTCAACATTTGATGGCTATATTTAAGTATCTTAGGTATTTATTGGCTTAGAATAACCAAACTTTGTCAGTTGATGCATTTTGGGTTTTTCAAGAATGTAGACCAAAAAGTAGTCCTAATTTGCTTAGAATCATCAAATTTTATCAGGTGATGCAACTTGGGTTTCAGGATACTTAGGATTAGAGGCTTCAAATACAAGTGATAGGTTGTACAATTTATCAGAAGAGTGATTCAAGGCCCTTGGGCCTCTTGTTAAATGTAACATGTTTATACAATGTAAATTTATGCTATTAGAGCTAAGAAAAGAAATTATAAAAGAATTTTGCAATTTTTTGATGTTCAATTCATAGAGTTTATATTGAAAGTATAAATATATGTTGATTTAAGGTGGAGGGAAAAAATCAAAGAAGCCTGAGAACTTTTAAAGCGAACTAATAACTCTTTGCTTTTCAATACAAATTCATTATTGTTGAAGAACAGTTAATTGTGGTTTGGGTGAGAGGGATTGCAGATGTTTGTATGTTCATCATTTCAGGGGAGAGAACTGCTGATGAGAATGCTGGAAGTGTTTGTCCTGAAGTTCAAAACCATTGCTAAGATTCAGCTGCCACAAATTCTACAGAAATGGTAAAAACAAATTTTATTCTGTTCAAAGAAAATGGTTGATAATAAATACTTGTATCTCTATTTATTTGTAAAAATGACCCAGGAATGAATGTGATGATATCCTATACTTTTATACATCCCCTGCAGCAAACAACAGCCACAAAGTCCAACTCAGCAGACTCCGACCTTGACCGATGCCAAACAGAATGTGGAGGTCAAGGTCGAGGCTCCTAAGACTCCAGTGGAGGAGAGTAAACCCCCCATGACCGCCTCACTCCTGGCTGACACGGCAACCAAGGACACAGACAAAGCTTGGACTGAAAAGGTCAGTAGGGGTCAAGGTCTCATCAATTGACCTAATTAATACCAATTTTCAGTGAAATGAAATTGTAAGTGTAACAATTTAGTGTAACAGGTAAGTGATGTTTTTTTTTATGTTAGTCACATTTGAAAATTTTGTAAAATCATGATGGTATTGTCATTCTTGTCTTTTAAAAAAATAGAAACTTTTTTTTATATGCAGAAATGAAAGATGTTTAAAAATTTTTACTTGACATTTTTATCATCACAGTCGCTGCAGAACCGTTTTGGTGTAACTCCTAGTCAGTACAGCGTTTATTCGGTCAGTGATTGTAGAAGTTTGGTCAAGACTCTGGTGTGTGGAGTCAAAACCATCACCTGGGGCATCGTCTCCTGTAAAGCCGTGGGCGCAGGTTAGTGTTGTTTACAAATAATTAAGATGAGATTTATAACAGAATATTTTCATTGAATTAATTTTATTGACATAATGTTGAATAACTAAAAATACAGCCAATACTTGTTATCGCGAAGTCAATGGGACAAAGAAAGTTTTTTTTTTTGTTGATATTATTGGATTCAATATATTAAAAGTGAAATATTTAAAAGGAATCAGGGGGTTGAAATTTCAGAAACATTTCGACAGACATGTACCTATGGTATTTGAAATAATTAGTGCTCGAGATGCCGAAAATGAACTGTATTTGTTGATGCTTTTAATAAGGAACAAAAGAAGTGTTCGGTGCATATGTATGTGAATGTAATACACCTAATTTAAAAAATGCTTATCAATATTTATTAGCTAGTTTATTTCTCAAAATTGTTTTAAAATTCTGTATTACAGAAGCTGCCACAGTCCAGAACAAGCAGTTCTTACCTAAGGAGGCCCTGGTCTACATCCGACTGGTCAAGTTTGCTCTGCAGGCACTGGACATCTACACAATCAACATCGGGGCTAATGGTCAAGCGGTCATCAGGCCAGCTGTGTAAGTGACCAAACAAGCATTACAAGTGCAAATATACGTGAAATGTGTAATTATGTAACAAATTGTCATTGTATTCAGTCTTGTTTATAATTTTTGGATTTTGTCCAAGGTTGATCTTTAAACTTAGAAAATTTTGTGTGTGAAAACTAAAATTACACAGATGTATATTTATCAAACTCGTAAATCACTAATTACATGAAGAAATAATGCATAAAAGTGTTTTAGAAAGTAACTGCTAGCTTTTCTATGACCTGGTCATTCTCTGTAAAGAGGTTTTTTGGTTGACAGGGTTCAAACAGTAAGAACTAAAGAAGAAAAGGAAGTCCTAGAACATTTTGCTGGAGTGGTGAGTAAACTATCATAGATTGTGGCTATTGTCATCAATACAACTAAGGCATTAATTCAGTGTACAGTAAAATACACATACAGTTAAACTTTGTTATCTTGAACCTGATGGGACTGAGAAAAAACTTCAATATATCTGAGGATTTGAGATATCAAATGTTAAATACTTATAAAGAATATATGGTTGGGACTTCGAAATCACTTCGACATATCCATGGTATTGGAGATACTGAAGTTCAACTGTATATAACAGAGTGCTAGGAACTGACTATTTTGCTTCGTTATAAGCTTATTTGTTATATCTGATAAGTTTACAATATGAATAAAGGGGAATGAAAACCTCTTATAAGCATGTTTTTTTTGACTGTATGTACAGGGTGTGAAAATGATGTCTCTATTTCTTTGTAGTTCACGATGATGCATCCATTGACATTCAAAGAGATCTTTCCTCAACTGTCGAGGTACTCTATGCATTTGCTCTTCTTAGTTTCAAAATCAAAAAGTTCATGTATATTAAAATTTATTAGCAACATTTTCTGAAATTTTTTAACTGGTAACCTTAAAAAATATTTTATTTTTTCAGTACATGGTGAATCGGATTCATAACAATTATGCACTACAGGTAGGGGACACAACTCTTTCTTTCTCAATTTACAGATACTATAGTTGTCTGCTCTTTGATTGATTGATTGAAAAACCAAACTCTTTAGTTGTAAAACTACTTTGATAGATGTACATATATATATACAAGCAAAAAATTTAAGTCACTTCAACAGATGTTTGATAATGTCTTGTACATGTGTTGATGGTATTAAATGCAGTTAATAACACACTTAATTTCAGCTTGACTAATTCTAATGTTATCATTTTACATTACTTGCTATCACTGTTTTCTTTCAGATTGTTGCAAACTCCTTCCTGGCTAATCCCACCACCTCTGCCACATTTGCCACCATTCTTGTTGACTATCTGCTGGCCAGGCTAGAGGAAATGGGATGTAAGTGAATACAATACTGACTGAATCAGTAAAAATGACTAAAATCAGAAAATACTGACTGGATAAGTAAAGACTAACTGGAATCAGTAAATTATGACTGGAATCAGTAAATAGAGCTATCTTAGTTATTTTAAAATTTTA